AAAATATAATTGGGATTTTATTGATGTTTACAGTATCCAATCCTTATGGTCTACTACCTTCATTTTCTTTGAGAAAAGGGAAAACTTTGACTTCCCAATTGAATATAAAAATCTATTAAAAAAAGAATGCCAGAATGCTAGAAACACAGGTTTTGACTAGCCCGTTGCTGTTCTGCACTAAGAACTACCTTGTATTTCAACATACGAGAAAAATTGATTAATGCCACTAATTTCTTAATTAACTGCAATTCTTGGTACAGAACAGGCACTAAACAGTTAAAGCAAGCAAGCTAGAGAGGATGAATCCGAAATACATCTTGCATTCTCGCATCTTATCCGTAATCTTCTTCAATTTCTGAAACCCATTCCCACAAGAATAGAACAAAATAACGATCAGAAGCACGTAAATAAGGTCGGCCGACTCAAATTTTCAGCTGGAGTACTTCACCATCCAAAATTTACAATCTCATCTCATAGAGAATTAATTATTTAACACGAGGGGAACACCTATCCTATTCCCTATCATATTCGAAGGATGTAGTTCCAAAAACTGCAAATTTGAAAGATGCAATTGCAATGTGGATGGCATAAACCGCTAAGAACAGAAACTATGAGAAATTCTTACGATAAAGCTCGAAAAATGTTGGAGATTTGGCCATTGATCTCCGCTAGCTCTTCGCTGACTGCAGATATTGGATCCATCTTTCAAACCAACCAAGCCTCAATAAACAGAATACCTTCTCTTTAATTCACCTTTTTAACGCATCATATCCTCAAAAACTAAACCAAAAAGCTGATTTCAAACGACAAATGCAGACAAATGCCGGCAAAGATCCGTACTGAACCTCAAATCCTCCGCAGATAATCGAACCGAATCCAAAACCCGCACAATGCCGGGCACCGGAATCTTGAATTCCTCCACAAAATCTCCACACAACAGCAAAATTGAAAATTCTCAAAACAATATAACAAACCAAATCTCGATTTCCAGATCAAAATCGAAGGTGCATTTCAAGAAGCGTCAAATCAGAACCCACAAAACAAAATCCCAAAAAAAATGGTGAGAAATTTTTCTATATTTTGTTTTATTTATTTATTTATTTTTTAATTTTAATTTTTTTTCCCCCCTGGAGCTCTGGCTGTCCTTTTTGGGAGGTTTTGGTTTTGTCTCTCCCTCGCAGGGATGGAGGTTTTACCAAAAAAAAAAAAAGCAGTTTGATCCGGAAATTATGTAGGGCCCGGCCCAGTAATCCTGCCAGTTGGTTTATAGATGGGCTTATAAGCTAGGGCCTTGTAAAGAAATATCAGGCCCAAAAATTTCATGTACAAAACCCATGTCTAAACTGAGATGAATCTGGATCTAGATTCCAGACCTGATTGCAGGCCTGTTCGTTCCAAGCTATATAAAACCCGAAGCCGGAAGAGAAACCTAGGTTTTTCTGCAGTGCTTTCTCTCGCTTTGCCGCTCCTCATCCTGTTCTACGCCGGGAGGGCAACCGAAGGGGGCTGCAGACCAGAAAAGAAAAAAAAAAAAAGAGTAAGATTTCTCTTTTTCTCTCTCGATCCTTCTCCTGAAGATACAAGCAGATCTGGGGTTGGAGCAAAAAAAAAGAGAAATTCTTAAATATCTTCTACAACCAGTTAGCCTCTCCCAAGCCCCTTTGATGCCGATCTCATCACCATCACCCTCACCAATCACTAAGCAGCCAAAAAAAAAAGAAAAGACGAAGCAGATCTGGTTGTTGGAGATTGGAAGGGTTCGGGGCAGCCCAAAAAAAAAAAAAAATGGAGTGTCTTCTCTTAGTCTCTTTCCCTACCCTTGGCATTCCCTCTTTCCTTCCCCTTTACCTCGGCTTACTTGCTCCTGGTATTCTGCAGATCTGCAGATCTGGTTTAGGAGAGGAGGATTTCTCTTTCTCGTACTCAGTTGTGACCAACCTTGCTGAACCCAGTTTTTCTTTCTGGTATTCTGCGAGTTTTTTTTTTTATTATTATTCTCCTTTATGTTTTATGTCTCTCATACCTACACTGTTGTTCTAGGCTATAAGATTTTCTCTCTTTTTTCACCTAAATTTGATATATTTTCAGGAAACTGTTTTGGCGTCGTTCTTTTCTTAATCTGGAAAAAGCCCTCATTCCTCTTAAAATATCCAACCAACTCCATTGCTGCATCTTTCCAAAAGCTTCTCATCAGCTCAATTCTCACTGTTCTTATACACTGTTTTCTGGCCTGATAAAGGTTTTGAGCTTTGGAAGCAACTATGTACAGCCGGCGAGATGGTTTGCTTTGGACGGATTGAGAGTGATTTTGGGGGAAAGAATGAACGTTGTCGGAAGACAGATGGCGAGATCTAGTGCCACAGCGCACCACCATCGGCAATATTCCGATAACTTCCTGGACGCCACGTTCAACGCGAGATGGATTCAGTCCACAAATTTTTTCTCTTCACAGGTCTTTGATCTTAGCTTCCTTTACATTTGAATTTCAATAAAGTGTCGCGTTCAATCTAGTTCTCGCATTTCGTGAGAGCTAAGCGATGGTTTTTGTGGCACAGGATTTTGGATGCTATGGAGGAGTTCAGGGGTCTGGAGTGAGCCGGAAGTAACCGGATCCGGAGTCGCCTCCGGTAAGTTCGAGGTCGTATAGTTTGAGAAAGAATGGCGACGAGCACGTTTTGCCCGGTGAGTTTAGGAATGAGGGCATTTTACCAGATTAAAAAAAGAACGACGTCCTTTTTGGAGAGAGGACTGAAATTTTTTTTACAGTCCGTACTGAAAAAACAGTTTTCTGGTTTTATCTAAAACCTTTCTTACTGAATAGTTTTGTGGTTGCGTGTGTATGTATATATCTTCTCAAGGTAAGATCTAAGCATCCATCACCTACTGTTCCAAGTGCAGGCTAGAAGAATCCACCCGCGGCTGTCCAAAGTTCTCCACCTAATTCAGGGAAAAGCGCCTCTGTTTGTAATTCAATAGAGGTAACTTGAATAGATTTACTTTATAC